GTTTGATTTATAAAACTGATTTCAAAAGAAGAGTTTTTGACGTTTCACATTTGTTTTACTCAATGTAGTTGTGTGTTTTTGTACTTTGTTCTCTGGATGTTCTCACTACGTTTCTCTATTTTTAGGCTGCACTGCTACACTCATTTCCTACATGTCCGTCTGTTCTTCTTGGGGTTTCTTTGTTTTTTTAATGATTTTCCATTTCTAATCAAACATTTAAGGAACAATGATGTCATGTGTTGCACAGATTGCACAGCTCTCACGGGGAAATGTGTGATTTTGGGATCTACAAAAGTTTCCTAACTTGAATGTCTTTGCACATTTTATTTAATCATTTAATTGGTCATAAATGTTTGCTCACATCTAACATCAGTTTAAAGGCAGCTTTTCTCCACCCTTAAGTCTAGAGCCACATAAACCAAATAAATAAAATGTGATTTAAATTTTTAAAAAAAACCCAAAAACTCACAATCTTCAAGCTTGTTCCAAACTGCAAAAACTAATCTGGGGAAACATCTCAGTACTTGTGGTTTTAACTAATGAAAATGGTCACTTAGACAAAAATAAAAAAAATGCAGACACTCTGTTTTGCCCCCCCAAGGGACAGATATCAGGCTGCACTGGTCTCCAGGGCAGAGAGGAGGGGCTGGAAAGTGGATGAAAGCAAAGAGCCCCGTTTAAAACCGACAGTAAAGTAAATTACTGTCCACTCAGAGATGACAGAAACCAGAAGGGGTTTATGTCTGTGATCTCATTAGAAAAATTAAATGTCTGGATAATGCTGCCTGTGATCACTTTGGGAGCTGAAGCTGTGAAATAATCAGCCTGATTTTTGTCGGCCTGCAAAACGTGAGAGTCGCGGTAATGAGCCATAGGTGGATGGCGTGTGACGTCTATCCCACGACAACAGAGAAAGGAAAGAAGATGGAAATCAATACAAAAGCGCCCAAAGCCGTCCTCTTGTTGTTCACTGACCCCGTATCACTTTACCCTGAAGGCAGGCATTCACAAAGGCTTTAATGTTCCCATAAAACACCACTGAGCTCATGCTGTGCTCCCCGCAAAGACACTACAACCTGAAATAACAGGCAGTTAAAGGCAGTTGTAATTACTTTGTGAACTTCTCCCGCTCGGCAGCATTTCTCCTGCAGCTTCGCACAAACACTGTCAATTGTGCGTTTCCTCTGGCTCTCCCTCCTGCCTCTACATGCCCGGTAGTTGTCTGAGCCTCGGGTTTCACCTTACAGGTGATCAGGTTGTCTGTTTTTCTCCACTCGGTTGGGATTGCGATATGTTTGTGTTGTGCTTTCAGACGGGGCGTACCCGGTCGAGGAACATTTATCTTTTAATTCAGTTTGTCAACAGAAAATGTGGTGTGTTGGCTGAACATAAAGCATTACCTCTGAGCTCTGCCTTTATGGGTTAACAGGTCGTAGGTCAACGACGGCGTGCAGAAGGTTGCAGCATTTTAAAGTTGCAAAACATCCGCTTCCTTCGGTTGACAGAATGTTAAACTCACCTCACAGTCGTCCTCTGATAGCTCCTCTAATAGTTCCCCGCCATCTCCCGATTCCAAAACCGGCCACGAAATTGGGTCCCTCCTGAAATGAGAAGATCAATAAATAGCTCAGCAGGGTGTTGCTGCCGTTCTGTGGGTACTATTGATTTCACATTTCCTTTATTCACACAGCTGAATCCTAATATGACATTTTCCACCAATATGTTGGGAGCACAAGCCCCCTCTGACCGATGAAACCCGTATGAGGCCACTGCAGTTGCTTCTAACCGAAATAAAAGGTCCAGAAATGCTGATTTAACACACAGATTACTGACCTTCATATGCAGTATAGTGTAAAGATACTCTGTTAGATGTTAAGTTGAATCTAAAAATATAGTTTCAGTCAACAAATGCAAAGAAAACAAGTCAAATATCAGCAAGTTAGACATTCAATACTCATATGTAAAACTACAGATGAAAAAACATAAATAAAAGATTGCTTTGGGTACAATAATGTTTTTTTTATATGCAAAGTAACTACATCTGTAAGGATAATTTAAAACAGCTATAATGCAATTCACTGAAATGGAATCAGGATAGAAATCTGAAGCAAAGTGAAATGGAAGAACTCAAGCACCTTGGATCTGTACTCATTTGCAGAACATGACTTAAGGTGCTTCCCACCTCTTACACTACCCAGTCTGGGTCTTTATTTAGGTATAACTGAGCCGGAGTAGGAAGCCAACAAAATGAACTAGGAGCCCTGTGTGTGGAGCTAAAACCAATCAGTGAAGGCCTAATATGGACGTCTGCCAGTCGGCCCACTGTGTCGGTGCTGCAGCAGAGCTCACAGACTCAAACAGACTCTATGGATTCTCCACTAACCCACTGACCTGCATTGCAGAGGCAATTTTTTTCTTTGTGCTACGTGCTCTGTATGTTCAAATAGGAATTAAAGGGGCTGCGCTGCCTTTAGCAATGCTTCCCTCTAGTGTTGACAGACACTTACTTCAGTGCCCTTTGACTGAGCTGGTCCAGTCTGACATTTTTTAAACCTTGACATGTGGCTCCTTTTTGGGGGGCAAAAGATAAAAAATGAGCTCAAAATAACAGGCTACGTCACACAGATTGATAGATATAACCTTTATTGCTCCACAGGGAAGCTTGACTTGGGCTGAAAATCACTGAACCACACAGCACACTTGTCAGTCAACTAAACTGGTGGACAATTTAGCTGTCATAGGTTGCAACAAAATGGCACAGCACTTGGACTGCAAGTGGGAATGCACAACAGGGATTTATCTGTTAGTGACAGCACTCTCCTTCCTTTATTTTGTACTTGAGTTTTCCCGGTGGATGTAGGTAGTCATTTTGTGTTGTGTGCTTGCAAGCTGGCAGGTCTGTAGCTTCACGACAGACTTTCACCGAGACCAGATTCTGCATTTGTGTCTGCTGTCGTGACAAAACGGCAGCTGGTACACTATCTGTTGTACAGCAGACCACAAACAGTTGGTGAAGTTTACTTTACCACTAGATTAACATTTTGATCAGTCTGCATGTATTCTATCATTTTGAACTGCTGGAAACAGTTTTGTCCGCGTCCTCAACAAATGTCATGGCTTTAGGAGTCACAATTTATTGAAAATTAAAAGGATAGTAAAAGGACACTTCAAAATAAAATGAATGGAATTATGTTTCTCTACCAAACAGTGTCGAGAATTCTTCGTTTTTAGACCACTAGTGGAAAAAACATGGACATCTTTTACTTAAGTAGAAATTCTGAAGTATTACTCTTTCATATACTTACTTGTATGAAAGCAGCAGCACTAACATAAACTTAAAGCACCAAAAGTAAAAGTACTATTTATTTAAAACATGCTGTATAATAGATACCTGTATTTGAATTAACGACACCGTCATTCATGCTTTGCTTTAATGTTGCAGCTGGTAAAGATGGTGTTAACATCCTTTATTTACTGCAGCGTTAACTGTGAATTTCTCATGAATAACCTGTAATAGCAGATGCTCACATGGTTAAAAACACTTTTCAAAGCTTGTTTTTTATCTCCAGATTAGCTGATTACAAAGAACATATTAGGTTTAAGCAATTACTGTATGTCACAATATTTTTTTTTTCGTTGTTGGAAATATTTGTATCTGTATATTAGTACCTTATGTACTGGTACCTAATGTGAGCAATGATCAGTGGTGGCAGAAGAATGAACATCTTTTGCTGAAGTAAAAGTGCCAATAATGCCAAACTCTCCCACAAAGTGCATGTTGCTTTAATATTGTGCTGGTAAGGATGCTGCTTATATCAGATAAATCATTTACAGCAGTGTCATTGTGGGTCAATAACCTATAATAACAGATGCTACTTTATTTTTCTTCATTGTATTTCAATATAATCTTAATATGTTGTCTAAATGCAGTTCTTAAATAATGTTGTAAAAATGACAATACCTCTCTGAAATGAAGTGGAGGGAAAAAAATAGCTTAACTGTTAAATAAATAGATATAACAGGATTTTTTGCGGGGTACATATATTTGACATTAAGTCAGTATTCATAAATCCAGGCTATAATCCTGCATTTTCTGGGATTTGTAATAGGACTACTGCCTCGGTTTATGTAAATCCTGAAGAAAAAAAAAACATCTACACATTTAATAAAGTTAACCTTTAATAAAACTGTCTGTACATTGCATCCTGTTCTGAGTGAAGCCAAAGTTAATTTTCTCAGCATGAATTTGCTATTATTGTTTAACGTGGAGAACACAGATATTTATTCAACCGCTTGATGTCAGCCCACATAGTTCAACTTCACCTTCCATTACCTTGGAGACCAACTCAGGTCATCGACAAGTTAGAATAAATCACATATGCTCCGGTCGTTATTTTCAAAATAAAACTCAATATGCGTCATACAGTGGCTATCGAAAGTAACCCTTGCCTTTTTTTCATGCTTTAAATTTTTTCCTGTTAGTGTTAGCTTAGTTTCTGATGTAATAAGTGGACCTTGACTTATTTTTTTCTCTGTTTTGGTAAGTTTCTATGTCTTTAACACCAATTTCACATAGTACTATGCATTTTACCTCAGTAAAAGTACAGATACAGTAAATGGCTCCACAACAGGTGGAAACCATGCATTTAAAATTTTACGTCGGTGATAGAATGTAGGCATGATTAGATAAATGCAATTAAAGTATCAGAATAAATGTACAGAAGTTTTTTTTATGTCAACTATTCATCTGAAGCCTATTAGAAATAGAGTAAATTAGTGGAGTAAAAGTATAAGGCAGCATAAAATGGAAATACTCCAGTAAAATACAAGTAGCCCCAAAATGCACTTACTTCAGGTAAAGTACTTGTAATATGAACCTAATTTTTAAATTTTGTTTTGAAGACACATTTCCGGTTGCGGCCTCGGCCTCACTAACGCGCGCCAGCTTGACCAACAGCTGTATATAAAGCGACGAGCCGCCGCTTGCTAGGAGCTTCCACGGCGCTGACAGCGGTCGAGCAGCCGTTGATCTTCCGTCTTCTCCCCGCGGTGGAAACATGGCTCTGAGCCGTCTGGAAAAGGTTCAGGTATGGCTCTTCAAGGCGGTCATGGGAGTCTTCTCCGTACTGTCGGGGTTCTTCTCGTCTCGGAGACCCGCTGTGTTCGGGAAGAAGCTTCCGCCCGTTAACAACCCGCTGCTGCTCACATCAGCGACGCAGCTCGCCAAGAAGATCCGGAGAAAAGAGGTGTGTACCCGGTGACCGAGTGACAGCCACGGCTGGACGGATGAGTTACAGCTCGTTTATAAATCCTGTAGAATGTCTCCTTAAATATTGTCATGTTTGAGTTTCACTTCATCAGCAGTTATCGATCAGTACCTCAGGAGTTAGCTAGGAGGAGCTTTCTGCCAGTTTCCTAAATTGGAGCATTTTATTTAATATATTTATTTATTTATTTAATTATAACCCCTTATTTCAGCTGAAGCAGCCGCACTCCTGGCCCAATCTGCAGGCATCTTTCTCCAACAATTTGCAAACCTTTAGGTAGATCCTGTAACACCTGTAGAATGACAGCTCACCTGTGCTTCCTGCGCATCCGCAGTAGGAACAGGTGTGTGTTGTGGACTTCACTGTCAGGCCTCAGCAGTGTCTAAAGGAGAGAAGAGGGAGGAACACAATCAAACACTCCTAAGTGAATTGGCATAAGTCTAACAAAACCTGCATTTTTTTTGATGCTGGAGCATCTCAACTCTGTGAGGATGTCACCTGGGAAACGGGGCCTTTTCTCACATGATACACAGTAATGACTGAGAAAACAATCAGCATGATACTCTATAATGTAATTAACTGGGAGCTGCAGCCCCGCTGTATTAGAGCTGCAACCATTAATCAATTAGGTGTCAACTATGAAATGAATCTGTAACTATTTTTATAATTGGTTGATCAGTTTGAGTCATTTTTTGGGGGGGTGTCCTCTATGACAGTAAACTGGATATCTTTGGCTTGTGGACAAAACATGACATTTAAGGATGTGCCCTCGGTCTTTGGGAAACACTGATGGACAGTTCTCACCATTCCATGACTAATGAATGAAAAATGAAATGAAATGAAAAATACTTTATTTATCCCAGAAGGGAAATTCAATATATTATATAATTCAATAATTGATTCATTAGGAAAATAATCAACAGATGAATCGACAATAAAGGTGTAGTAATGCTAAAAGTTAGTTGTAACCATGGACTGTATGCATGTAGGTATGTCTATGTCCATTTCAGTGGTAGGAGTACATAATAATATAACAGTATATTCATGAATAACAGAAAACTCCTTTTTCCGTATTTGGGTTTTCCTCCGTCCCCCTTTACAACCACATTTTGACACCAGTATTTGTGTAGTAAACCTGTGTCTGTGGGGGATCATTTGTCCGTCGCTTCAAGTTTCACCTGTAGTAATCCACCGTAGTTTTTCTCCCACTTCTGCCAGTTTGACTTGTTTTTCCTGAGTTTTCTGTCTGTGTAACTTATCCTATCATGCATTTGCATGGTCTGAATGTTGCGTGTCTGCAGGTGTCGAGTGTGGAGGTGGTGCAGGCTTACATTGACCGGATCCAGGAAGTTAACCCTTTTCTGAATGCTGTTGTGAAAGACAGGTAAAGAAAGAAACCATCTCTCATTACCTGACACTTCACTCAGGGCTGCAGTGATTGGTTGGTTGAGGTGCTATTTTGATAATCAAATAACCATAATTAAGGTTATTCACTTTTTGAAGCAAAAACAGCAAACATTTACTTTTCCAGCTTCTTAAATATGAGAATTTGGGGCAGCTATTTATATGATTCACTAAACATTTGGGGATTTTGAACTCTTGGTCAGACAAATCAATACGTCTGCCAAAGAACAGGCTTTTTTCACGGTTTTCTGACATTTTATGAAAAAAAAGTGAATTAATGAATCAAGAACATAGTAGGCAGATTAATTGGTATTATAATAAGCTTGAGTTGCAGCCCTGTTTATGTAAAATGATTTATTTTAATACATACATTATCTTTTCTCACTTGCACAAAATGTACTTGCGCTTCGATCTGTTGTGTTTTTTCTGCCATATTTGCGGTCTTAAAATCAAATCCACAAAACAACAACAAACCTGAGTTCGTTTCCTCTTTCCAGGTTCGCTGCTGCTCTCCAGGAGGCGGCCCAGGTTGACAAGCTGATCGAGGAGGAGACTGGAGGAGAGGAGGTGCTGGAGGACCGACTGCCGTTACTGGGAGTGCCGCTATCTGTCAAAGAGTCCTTCGCCCTCCAAGGTAACTCCTAGTAATCTTATCACCTGTCGGCTACTTTAAACCAGCCACTGTCCTTTGGTTACACACATGTTGGTCTGTACATGAGACAACATGTGGTACTGGTAATATACATCCAGCTACAACCACTTACTGGGAACATGCAGTTACTTGGACTTTAGCACATAGTATGTATGTAAGCCGTGTAAATCCTGTTGAGAAACCTTGACATGTTAGCTAGTTTGAATCAGGTTTGTGACCCATTTTTTTGACTCACATTTATGGACAAATAGGAAAATTTCTACTTAATACTGAATAAGACATAAAACTCCAGATGAGAAGACAAAATAAACGGTATTTTCATCAGATGAAAATGATGTTGAGGCAGAAAAAATAAGTTTAACGCCAGTAGTTTTAAGTCCACCTGAGTAGTCGACATGTTTCCGTCTTCCAGGCATGCCCTTCACTACAGGCGTGATCTCCAGGCGAAGGGTCGTGGCTGCCTCCGATACTCCATCGGTGGCCCACTTGAAGAGAGCGGGAGCCATCCCACTGGGCGTCACCAACACCAGTGAGCTGTGCATGTGGTGCGAGTCGCACAACCACCTGTACGGCATCACCAGGAACCCGTACGACCTGGAGAGGGTACCAGGAGGAAGCTCAGGTTAGCAGCTGCTGGTTTAACAAGCGGATGTTGATAGAAAGAGGAAGTGTCTTCCCTATTTATTAGCTTGGAGTCAGGAAGCATTTATTCATTGTCATTGTGTTGGCGTCGGTCTCCAGGAACAGTCTTGGCTTTAATCACATTACTCTACCCTGCAGACACACCAACACAGAGCCTCTGATGCTTTAAACAGAACTTCCACTGATTTTTCACTTGGCAGTGTGTTTACAGGTCTTTGTGAATATGTGACAGAAGCTGAATGAAGCCTTCTGAGTCTGCAGAGGGAGTTGTCCAAACTCTGATTAATCTAGAGATGCTTAGCAGTTGTCGGGCTACATCACTCGCTACAACACATATCTCTGGCTAATGCTGGTGTCAGACACTGACAAAGAAGAAACATGCAGTTAATGATGCATCAGTTTTCACAGTGATAGATGTGTAATACCAAATGAACTGCTGAAAATAAAAGTGTCATTCAGAGGCCCAATTCATTATTATTTTTGGCCGTTTAAATTTTCTTTTAGATCCCTGAGTTGTACTAAAGATTAAACTGTTTCTTTGCTGATGACATTTTGCTGTAAGCGTATGAATTCTCTCTCAGGTTTTTAAACATAACAAACCAGAAAACATTACGTTCTGGTTGTTTAGGTCTTAAATACAGCCACAGTGAGGAAAGTAACAGCCACATATGTTCAGTCATTAATCTGCAACTATTTTCTAATTCCAGTATTTTAATATTCAGCATTGAACATTCTCTGGATCCTTTACTCCTCTATGACAGTAAAGTTAATATCTTGGAGCTGTGAACAAACAAGACACTCAAGGACGTCATCTTTTTTTTTTTTTTACCCCTGTTATTATAAAGACTGTGGTTGCCAGTGGCTCCAGCTTACCTCTCCTGTCTCTGTGTTTATCTCCTCTGTTTGTCCGTCCTCAGGGGGGGAAGGCAGCATACTGGGAGGAGCAGGTGCAGTCATCGGCGTGGGCTCAGACATCGGTGGCAGCATCCGCATGCCCTGTTTTTTCAATGGGATATTTGGTCATAAAACCACTCCAGGTAAGAGAAATGGATTCATCCAACCTGTCCTTACTCTCTGTGCTGCTTTACCAGCTATTCTTACAGAGAAAACAGTTTCTATGATTTTGCTATGTTTGTAACATAATTTTGCGTCACTCACAATGCGTAGCTGTCATCTGCAACCTCCACCTGCCAAACACCAAACAGACACAGTAAGTAGCTGGTGAGCATAGTGAAGGATTCACCAGCTCAGGAGTCGGTAAAGACCAAGAACAAAAGATGTGCAGCAGAGTGGTGTCTATGTATTCTAGTGCGTGCGCAGTTGGTGCATTTGCAGCAGAGTGAAGGTGCTGAGATGGAAATAGGAGGGTACATGGAGGTCCGCACAGAGCTCTGGGTCCCTCTAATGATGAAATCTATGTCATCTGGACCCTCGTGGATGCTCACATACTTGCAGTCTTGGAAAATGTCACACTGGCCTAAATAAAAAAGCGAGTGCTTGCCAAATCAACCTAACAGCTGAGGTCAGTGTTCTGCTCACAGCTTGTTTCTGCTCCCTCCAATGGCTCAAAAATATGACACTGATGATTTAAAAAAATAAAAAAAAAAACATTTTTACTGATCAGACTGCGCTGTAATTGAGATTTTTTTCTGTAGGTGTCGTGTCCTGTGAGAACCAGCACCCTCCTACCTCTGGCAGACAGGATGAGTACATCAGCTCCGGTCCAATGTGCCGCTACGCTGAAGACCTGCTGCCTATGCTCAAAATCATGGCTGGACCCAAAGCTCACATGTAAGGACTCTGCTAGTGCAACTCACCTTACTTTAGAAACACTCAGGTCTGACACAGCAGGTTTCTATGAAGTGTTCTCTTTGCCTGTGCACATATGCAGCTATTATGCAGACATGACAACTGAGACGCGTACTTGGAGGCAGCAGGGAGGGAAATGTGTAATATCTGCTGTGTGTATAATCAAATTGTTACAATGCAAATATGGCAATCATCCAGAGACACACACACAGTCTCAGGCCTAATTGTTTTTATGCTTCATGGATGTGATAAAGGTCTACGTGCAGTAAAATATAATATAATAGAAAACCTGTATGAGCAGTCACATAAATAATAATGGTACAACTGCCAACAATATGTCATCAGAGCAGCAATGTGCGTCACAGGAGTAAAGATGAAAAAAGAAAAGAAAAAAAAGAAAAACCCTAACCCTATGCTTTCATGTGATGCCACATGTTGGCATTTTGAAAAGGTGGCGGGTAGCTGCAGATACACGGTCATCGTAAATCCAACAAGTGTTTTTCTTTGAGCAGACAGTCTTAGATCTGGGCTTTGCAGGGTCAAGAGTGAAGTGAGGTTTGTTTGTGTGGACCTTGATCAGATCTAAGTCGACGAGAGCAGTGTCTGATAACCTCTAGTCTTTGATGTACAATGGTTTAACAATTTACAGCATCTGTTGTCACTTGTCCGCACAGGCTATCCCTGGACACAAAGGTTGACCTCAAGAACCTGCGGTTCTTCACCATCCCTCACGACGGTGGCAGTACTTTTACATATCCGGTCAGCAAAGAGCTCATAGACATTCAGAGGAAGGTGTGTTGAATTCATCTTTAACAAATCAGATTTTCTTGAGTTTGTAAGAGACGCCATAACAATGTTTCAGGACGTTTTTTTTTAGATTTGAAATCTTAACGTGATGTTCCACAGGTAGTGAAACGTCTGGAGGCCGATCTTGGAGTGAAAGTCCAGGAAGTGCATTTCCCTGAGCTCCGCTATAGCTTCCAGATCTGGGACAACTACATGGGTCTTCCTGACAAGGAGGGAAAGGTCAGTGTACCTGACAACCTGATCCCAAGCAACAGTTTCCTGCATGTCTGTACAGAACAGTCACTTTACAGCAGACAGTCTTTTGTGTGTCTCCCAGGTGGGAAACGACAGCAGGGAACCAGACATCAGTTAAGCTGCTGTTGCCAAGACTCTCTTTCTAATAAAACGTGTCAGAGTGAAAGAAAGCAGGCCCAGTCTCAGTCACAGCACCTATTGTAGTCTGCTGGCAGAAATGGCTCACTAATCTGTTTAGCTGCCAGCACATAACATACCACACACACAAACACACACTCACAGAGTTGTGTTTTCATCTCCTCAGAGGGCTTTCTATTAACTCAGATTAATTTTCTGCAGACTTTACCGAACCTGAACCTCTACCTTCCTTAACCTAACCTGAAAGTACTTTAAGTAAGTACGGTTAATGATATACAATGTGAAGACTTGTTTTTTTGTCCCCGGCAGGACTTGAATCCTCACAATGGGAGTGTGTAAACAGATTACGTCCACACAATTTGAAGTGCACACAAGCACACACACAATTTTCTGAGCGCTGCAGGTTTCTCAGTAAATCTGATAAGTTACTATTACGGACATGCTACAGCTCGGCAGGGCCTCCAGATATGTTCTTTACCTAACCTAAGATAACAGTTGTGGTAGAAAGTAACGAAGTACATATACTGAAGTATTTTATACTTCTACTGCACTACATTTCAGAGGAACGCACATGTTTCTGCTTCGTCTGACAGCTGACGTTTATGACTGCACAACAACACGTGATCCGCTAATATAATTCAATGCCTAGTTAATCTTTAACGAACACCAATGCTTCCCACACTCTGATGCTTCTTCTTGTTTCCCCTCTCAAAGTCATACATGGTTTGAATTAACATTATGAGGTTTAAACTTTTCCTAGTTTGCACAAAAAAACAGGCAGAATTGTGTAGCCGAACTATCTTTTCTTTCCTGCCCCATGAATCACCTGACGCCCCCTCGGATTTATTATGTAACCTGCTAGATGAGCCGCAGACCTTTTTTGTTTTACCGCCTCATGATACACAATGTAAAGCTGCTGTAAAGTCAGTAAAGAAGTATTAATGCAGTAAAGGAAACACTAAGATTTAACAGACATGCATTACTCAAAAAAAACAAACAGTAAATGGTTTCTTTTCCTTTTTCTGTACTTTTGACTGGTGGATTGTAAATGCAGTATTTTAGGCATCAAAGCCTCCAGATGATCTCATTAAAAGCACATTTTTCTTAGTAATATTTTCTGTGCTTTATACAAGAGTTTCCTACTGTTCTGAAGTACTCCATGACTAATAAATCACTTAGTTTAATTGAAAGCCTGATGAGGTAACACTGGCACAGGTTAGTGTTACCATCCTGATAATGATCCTTCTGCAGGCTGGCGTCTGGTGGCAACAGAAAATAGCAACCACACGACTGTGACTGTGGCTGAGCGAGAACAGCACAGTGCTTACGCCACGGAAATATAATAGGCACACATTGTGTACTTTATGTGACCTTGGGAACACAAAATAACTGTGTTTAAATTGTTTTCTTCACTTAGCCTCCCCAGCCGTTCACTGAGCTGATGGGTGAACCGGGTCGCCCAGCGTGGCCTGTGTGGGAGCTGCTGAAATGGATGATAGGAAAATCCGAGCACACCATGGCTGCTATTGGTAAGAAGAAAAGTACATTTATGCATATTGTTTACTTATTTGGTATCAGTTAAGTTTTATTTTTATTTGAAGCGCAGCTGTCTTCATTTTATTATATTGTTTTGATGGGAGCAAAAAAAAAAAAAAAAAAGCTAGTTATTGGTAATAAAGCTAATAAATGCTCATGTTACATTATGTGCGATGCCTTCAGGTTTGGGTTTGCTCGAGATAACCCGGAAGTCCAAAACCTCATCCTTCATCATCCAGCAGAAGGAGAAGCTGCAGAAGGACGTGGAAGAGCTACTGGGCACCGACGGTGTTTTTCTTTACCCCTCGCACACCAGAGTGGCCCCCAAACACCACGACCCACTCTTCAGACCCTTTGACTTTGCCTACACCGGTAAGTGATGCCAAGGACGCAGTGGGACAAAGCTCAGGCAAACAACACTGAACCCCAAAACATGTGGGTTTGAATGTCATGTTCTCATTAAAAAAAAAAAAAAAAATCTGAGAAATTACTTTATCAGAGCCAGAAACTGTAAATACATAAAGAATCATCAGATTTTCAACTTTTTAATGTACCTTGAACTACTAGACATCTGTGACCTGAACAGATCTAAGCCTAAAATCATATTTTGTCAAAACTGCTTTATTCTACATTTCTTGTTTACATTTTTTTGTGCGTTTAACTTCTGCCGTTAGCGGATCAGCTGCAACCTTGAGTCACCTGACAGAACTTCAGGGACTTTTCAGCTGAACTGCAGGCTGCGTTTACGCAGAGCAGATAGGAGAGGATCATTTTCAACTTTCACTTTTTTGCTCTTTTTATTTATGGTATTATAAGTGTGTTATACTGCACAAAAGATACTCGAGTTCTCCCTACCTCTGGCTATAGTTTTGCTGTTTCCATAGAGGAACAGGAATTTCTGTTGCACTGAAAAATGAGTCCACAGTGACCAAAATGTAACAAAAGCAAAACATGTCCTACTCTGGGTTCAGAGGGTTAATCAATTAACTTCAACGTGACGTAAGCAGAGCAAAACCCCTTAAATACATCAATATTTGGTGTGACTACTTATTTAACTTCATGGTGCATAAAAGATAGTTTAAGACATCTTGGAGGACTTACCGGAGTTCTTCTGTGGATTTTGGCTGCCTCAGTGTCTTTGCCTCTTCATGTGATCCCAGACCAACTCTAAGATGTAGAGATCAGGGCTCTACGACGACCAATCTTTAGCATGATGCTGTTCTTGACCAGAAGAAATAGACCTTAAGTGACCAAGTGCATCATCAAAACAGCACAATTCGTAAAACCTCGAAAAGGCACCGGAAAAATCCCAAATTAACCCAAAGTGTATATAATAACACACTGCTGTGAGAAGTAGGTGAACTTCTTTCTCTGACTTTTTGTCTTCTGGAGTTTATTATCTGTGACAGCTTCTAGTCTTGGCTCTTCCAACTAGTTGTTCATTTTACTGTTGATTTCTGTTTTCAAGAACTCATAGGAGCCGACATGTTACACAAACCTTCAGAATTGATCCCATGAAAACATAGCATGCAGTAGGTATTTCTAACTGTCACCTCCTCTGTTCCATCCCCAGGCATAATTAACATCCTCGGACTGCCAGTTACACAGTGCCCTCTGGGTCTGGGTGAGGAGGGTCTACCTCTGGGTGTGCAGGTCGTTGGTGGGAAGCTGCAGGACCGTCACACCCTCGCTGTGGCTCTGCACCTGGAGAACACGTTTGGAGGCTGGAGGGACCCTGGAGCAAACTAAAACCACACCTTCACATGCTAACAGCCATTACCAAATCTCCAGACTGGTGCAGGTTGAAGATTGTGGTACACTCATGCCTGACGTGCTGCCTGCTGTAGTACACAAACACAGAGGGGTATAGCTGGCACTTTGCCTCCAGTGACAGAGATTGATTTTTGCACTAATGAGGAATCAATCATTCCAGTGTCTGTTGTGACTTTAGCACCTAACCTGTTCAGAGACAGTTACGTCATGAGCACAAGCTTTAAAAATGTTGAGAAGATGAGAGGAACTATCTGTTAGCATTCACATTATCACACAAAATAAGGTTTTTGTGCTGTTTATGACAGTTACAGTCACACACGTAAATGCAGACTTACTGTTACTATCTTAAGCCCCTGAATGTCGGGTTTAGTATTTTGAAAAGCCTAAACACACACTTTCACTCAGGTTGTTCTCATTCTGACTAATTAGACCTCTGCTCACGTTCATGCGCTGTGTTTTCTGAGGTCACCTGAATCTTTAAAAGGTGTCATTTGCGCTGTACTGACAGCTACAACCAATCAGAGAGACGACAATCAAGTGTGGTCTGGACACGCCATCATAGCAAATTCATTTAAAGAGCACATTTCAAAACAAATGCTGACCCAAGTGCTTTACAGAGATGGAATTGGGTGGTCTAAAGAGCCAGAGGAATGAAACACCTGTGCAGGTTTTTACCTGGTGGCTAATCCTAACAGGCATCAGTGTGATAGAGGATAAAAAGGACAAGAGGACTTACCTGACAGTGGTGGAAATATACTGGAAAAAATGCATAAAACCTTAGCTGCATGATAATGTGAATGTTGCAGAGTAGCGCTGGATCGACTGTGGTGCCTGTTTTATGTTGCAGCTCATTTCAGTGAATAAAAAAAATGAGGTCAGAATCTTATCTCATAACTTTTCTTCTTATAACAAAGCACGTTTTGCATCAGGTTCGATTAGCAAACTTACAGTCAGAGGGTTGTACTATTTATAAATGTTCCTCAAAGGTTTTGATACATCCTGGTTGGAATGAGAAAATGCTTGAAAACCCAACAAATACGGAACTTCCCATCAGCCAAAGACCAACTCAGTGTTATTAAACCCAAACGTAAAGGATATGGTAGTATATTGTCGAAGCTCAGTAATTTCATCCTCACATGACCAACACTGCATCCATACACCTGCACCCACCAATCTTTTCCTCTACAATCCATCTCAGGACATGAACACTCTAATAAATTACCCTGAAATACACTTTCTAACGGTAACAAAACAACCAGGTGACAGTTACAGTACAAACTGAAGGTAAACTGATTCGTAAAATCCGAGCACGAACGCTTTGGTCCCAAACACTGAAAAAGAGAAACACCCCCTGAAGCCTGTTGTTGATTTATTTTCTTCCCTTCTTTTGAAAAAAGGATGAAAAACTGTTAAACATCTACCAGAAGGCTCCAAACAGAACTTGACAGCAATGAGAACTATTCACCGCCTATGTGTGTTTGTTTTGGTCGCCTCAGTGATGACCGTCATCATTGTTCTCTCCTTTTGTTTAGTCACAAAACATTCTGTTCTGAAAAGTAGACGAATAATCTGCAAACATGACATTTGGACAGAAAAATACAGACAGCTTGTCTTCTTTCTAGACACGTGACATGCTTGTACCTCGGTACAAATGTTGAAAGGTGCCTGTCGTGAGGATAATTCCTCTGCTCAGACTCGTAGAACTCTCTCCCCATCCTGAGCACAGCATCATTCAGGACTCGGAGTTGACTTAAAAACAGAAACAGTAAAAGGGCAAGGGAAACAACCAAAAATAAAAATAATAATAATAAAAAAAAAGATACAGAAATATTCTTCAAAGAGTCCTGCATTTTGGCAGTGCAGGAAAAGGGAGGACCTTTCTCTCCTTGATAATCCCTCGCCCTCCCAGTGCTCGATTTGGCCCAAATGTGTATGTAAATACTTGTATCTGTGTGTAAACATGTTTTTTTTTTTCTCGAAGTGGATAAGAAATTTTGGGTGTGTGATCTCGAGCGAGTGAAATGCCTCAGGAGGTATTGGTAATCGGTTTGTATTTCTTGAGGCGGGTCCACTGTCCTGTGGAATAGTTCATTTCGAAGACCGTGTCCACCAGCATGGTGGTGCTGCCGGTGCCGTCGGCTTTGGGCAGGACCTCTGTGTGCTCGCTCAGCTTGATCTGGATGATGTCCCCCTGCTCCGGGCACGGGTTCTCTGCAAGGGGCAGGAGGAAGCAGACGGGTTAGTTTTGGCCCTGCAAGACCTGTAGAAGTGCTTTGAAAATTGTCAGGGATATTTACGGAAATTGTAAAACGGTATAGTGCATTTATGCTGCTGATTTATGCTTTAAATTACATGGATGAGCTTGTTAAAAATTACATTTGCTGTGAAAACAAGCAGCAACACTGTGTGAAACCACCAAAAAATGATTTTGAAACTCACCAGGAACTACAGATAAATACAGGAAAGTTAGATCCCTTTACTTCCTGTGAAATCTGAAATATCCCCGCTGGATCTTGTGTTGTTTTCGTGTATTTGCACCTCAGACTTTATGTACAGAGGAGTATTACATGTACAGAACTAGACCCCTTTTCCAAGCCTTAATGCTTCCACACATCGTTTCATCTGTCTGGCAGCAAATGACTTCACTTCCAATGATTCAGTTAAATTTGTGGGTTGGTAGAAATTCATCATCATCAAACCGATACATGTTCATTGCAGCATTTTGAAACAAAAACCATCTCCGTCCAGTTGAATGTTTCAGCACCATTTCAGGAATATTCTCCATCCACACAAATGTCGATAAACACATCATGTGACTGTTAACAAACACTTGGAAGCAGAGATGGTTGCTAAGAACAGCAATGATAGAAAGTAAGACCGGAGGTGTATTCGTTTGAACAGATGACGAGGTGGGACTGTACTGAAAGTAAAACGGGCTTAGGTCTTTGTTGTCTTCTGGAAAATAGTAACGTGATACGACCATGATGAATCAGGAATAAACATGGAGCGACCTACAAGAGCCAAACACGACGTGAATGTGGGTGTATGAGTCAGCGTCTCTACAAATCTTTTTTTTTTTGCCAATTCAGACGACTGACTGTATGTAAAGATGAATGAACCCTCTGTGACGTCATCTACAGGTTTCCTTAAATCAACAAAGTGTTAATCAGTACGGGTCACACACTGTGAGAAAGAGTGTTTTAGTGTTTCGGAAAATGTTGCTCTATTTTCTTTTCTGAGTACAACTTCCCCCGTACCTCTGGATCCAGCCATGAAGCCCAGGATGAGGGCCTTCTCTGGTCTGGTGACCTTGTTGGCTGTCTTGAACATCTCCTGGGCAGCGTACATCTGGTCTCTCTGAGGATTAGAAACAGCATGTGGCAAAGAATTTAGCTGACAGAGATTCAATATGCAGAGTTCAATAATACCAAAGGCAGTTTATGTGACTAATAGGTTTTCTTTCAGCTGCTCAGACTCTTGTTTTAAGCCTCACCGTAAGCGAGAGGTTCTTTTTGGGCTGGGGCTGTGACGGCGTAGGGGCTGGTGCTGGGGTAGGGGTCTGAGGTGTGCTGGGGGGCTGGGTGGGAGTCTCTGGCTGGCTGGCAGTCGCAGCTGCTGGGGGCCCGTTGCTGGCCGGGGTGGAGACCGGTGTGCTGGGGGATGTGGGGGTCGCAGGGTTTGCTGTGGTGCTCGCGTTGTACATCGGTGTCCTCTGCTTGTACTGGCCCGGTAAGGTGGCGTTGGCACCAGTGCCTGCTGTTGCCGACTCCTCTGGCTGCCGAGCCGCCTGCAGCGTGTCCCGACCCGAACCACCAGCATTTGCTTTAAAGGAGGTGGGCAAAGCAAAGTCATGAGAAGGGAATTTATTTTACTTCTGCAAGTGTATGAAAGCACTGTGCTGAGGCCTAGCTGCAAGAGAAGAGACAATTCTGAGTGGGCTTCCTAACCTGGCTGCGCCTCGGAGCTGGGAATGTAAGAGGAGGAGGGAACCATGCTGGGTGTGGCCGGTAGGTAGCTGGTTGAAGGCAGAGGATTCTCGTTCAGCGCCCCAAGTTTCTGCAAAACAAAACAGTGAGGGTGTTTGAAAACTCTGATATGACAGAGGAAACACAACAGAGTGACAAGAGAGGGGTAGTAGGGCTGCACAATTAAGGCCAACAATGTAAATAAACTGAGCCCTGCTTCTACTTCCATGTTGTGGTAATAGAAAAATCTTTGCATGAATGTAAGACTTAAAATAAATGTATTCACATGAATTCAGCCATTTAGTCTCTTTACTCAGTTATTGCAGTGTAGCACTTCAGGCCAAAAATGTATCTAAAAAATAGTGGAACAAATAGTTTAAATGTCAGATTTACCAAGGCTGAACCCTTGAGACTTTGGGTTGTTTTCTGTGAGTCAAGTTTTCTCTGACTGGAGTGTTTTAAATGTGAAAATCATAGTCCATCATGCTCAATTGTGGGAGCCAAAATTGTGATCATGGTTAGTATTTGATATATTTAGCAGCCCTACGTGGTAAAAGGAGACAAAACTGGATACACACACATATAATAAAGTACCTGTGCAGAGACGAGGCCAGCAGCGTAGTCCGGCGTGGTGTTTTCCACCACTGCTTCTTCTTTGGCTGCCTTCTCTCCAGCCTCCGTTTCTACACCAGAACAAAACACCATTTAATCATCAGCGTAATTACACATTTATTTGAGTGATGAGTTTAAGTTACAGCTCTTAAACTTGGACTGGCAGAGGGCTGGAAATATAGTTACCCAAAGTCTTTCTTCTCCTCTTTGCCTCTCTTCCAGCTCCAACCATGTCTAGCTCTGAAATATCTAACAGCTGTAAAGAGGAAAAAATGCCAACTGTGAGAAAAGTTCCAATCTTGAACAGACCTTAAGACCAGGAACTGAATCAAATTAGAACAACTGTGTATATAAGCATACACAATGCATTAACCAGACTTACCTTGACCCCCCTCTCCTTACGCAGGGGCGTCCGTGCGGGGGCAATAGGTGTGCGGTTACTGGGAGGGCTGAACATACTGGGAGCGGTGGGACTGCGGAATGGGGCCTTGGGAATCCCCTTGAGAGGAGCTATGATGCAAACATTGACACGTGTATCAGTGACAGAAGCCAAAAAGTTTCATCTGAAACAGGCAAAACCTTGTAGTATGAACCTCTGACAGATCAAAGTTATGTTGTTTTGTTAAATGGTCCTCCGGCGGCACGACACAGCAGATGTTTGTGTGCACTTGTAGGTGTGTAACTCACTAGTAGTGTCAATCTTTTTGACCAGTCCTCTCCCTTTGGCATGAAAAGGCACTCCGGCTGTCTTTTTCAGCTGCTGGGCTGTCTCTGTGGCTAAAATAGAAACACATTTTTCAAAACATTAACTTGGCATCGGGAATTGGAAACCTCGTCACCAACCGCCTCTCTGGCACATTATATCAACATAAACAACCAATTTACTAATTTGTTTGACCATTTAAATTGGCACCACAATGTTATGTATGATGAGTTCAATGCCAGATCTGAATGAGCATTTTATTTTTTTCATTATTTTCATGAAAGACATGATACCAATTAACACAATTACCAAAGACTGTTTTAAAAACATGATCTGGTAGCTTGTCAAGCAGGATGTAATACCATCAGGCACCTATTTTTCTCAAGCTGCCATTACAGAGCTTTATGAAAAATGAAAGGCACAAAATGAAACAGAGTTGTCACAAATGGAATAATATGCAGCTACAAATCAAACTGTACAACAGAGCTCTAAGTAAGTCTAATAAAGACTTCCAACTGAAAGGCCGCTGTTTGCAAACAGTATAGCAGTTGGTAACTTATAATCATCCTGTGTTTACTCGGCAGTTCTTCACATTGCTACA